CTCTGAACTCGAAGACTGTAACCATGGCGATGACAGCTCATCCCAATGGGAGTGTCCTGAACGCCATGTTGTGTGTGTGTGTGTGCGTGCGTGTGTGTGGTCGTGTGAGTTCAGCAAGAGGACAACCACACTTGGAGACTATTGCTAGCTTACGCTCGGGTCAGTGTGTGTGTGTGTGTGTGTGTGTGTGTGTGTGTGTGTGTGTGTGTGTACGCCACATCTCCTGGGCACTTTAACATGTCAGAGCCAATCATCCGCCTGTTTTAATCTTTACGACATTTATTACTTCTTCCTTCTTTTCCTTCATTTTGTCCTTTGCTTTACCTTTTGTCTGCAACCTTCCCTCCCTCTCTTCCCTAACCTCCTTCTCGCCTCCTTCTCTCCTCCCTTTCCTTTCTTGAATTTCTCATTTCGCTCAGCTGCCTCCATCTTTTTCCTCTCCTCTTTCCTACATTTCATTTTTTCAGCATCTTTTCTTTATTAACTCCATCTCCACATTTAAAGATAATATAAAAACTGGAATTACAGCAAAAGGGACGAAACACTGAGACGTAAAGTGACTTTCCGTCCGTGTGTGATGTGTATTTTGAATTTATTTCACAAGATGACGAAACTCTTAGCTGTTGCGACACTTTTTTTGGTCGAACTATTACTTCCGACACAGAGAGTGAGTTTTTTAATCTCAGTATTCACAGTTTCTTTGAGAGAAAATGATCCACACTCGCCAGATGTTTATTCAGTTTATTTAAAAGATGATTCTATATTGTTCTCATGAAAAAAAGACCAAAGCCAGCAGTGCGTTCTTCTGTCCATCAAAACAAGTTCCCTTCTCTTCTTGTGGCAAACATCCCTGAAACATTTGGACTCTGAAGTTTTCAGCAATCATCCCTGAAACAATCAAGCATGAAAACGAACTTCCAAATAAAGTTATCGTTGATTTTGGTCTTTTCATTTGATTTATTGCTAAAAAAAACTAAAATATCCTGAAAAAGAGAGCAACAGTCATTTTTCTGGAGAGCAGAGTCTCGACCCAATAAGACTTTTTCAATCATTTGCAATGTCAATCAACGGCGCCGTGGAAACCACATCAGGTTTTTAACAAATGTCAATAATCCCCAACTTCAGAAACTGTTGACAAATGAGCTGAGGCCTTTATGAAATGATGGCCAGCACTGCAGACAAAAAATCTGGATTCTATGTTTAAATACCAGAGTCTGACGTCAGGAGGTTTTTTAAATATATATATATATGTGTGTGTGTGTGTGGAGGTGAAGGAGTTTTCATGAGGAAGGACAGTAAGATGGAGCCGAGACAGCCGGGAAACGAGAGACGAGGAGATTGGTTAGCAGCGATCATGATTAAGATATGAAGCACTGAGACTGCCCTCGCTGCTACGCAGACTGTCTATGGCATTTTAATAAAGACGTGTGAGTGTGTGTGTGTGTGTGTGTGTGTGTGTGTGTGTGTGTGTGTGTCTGGTCCATCACATGAAACATGCACACGCTCTAACATTAACCATCTCCACACTAACAACGTGCGTGTTGGCTTTGCTGGATGTTTGTGACTTGTCTCCTGTCATGTTTTAGTTTTCCTCGCGGTAACCACACAGATCATATGAACCACAGTCCAGAGTGCACCCCATCCCCCCACCCCCTCCCCCCACCCCGCTGTGCTTCATACCGATGTCTCCTCGTTGTACTGATATTACCGTAGACGTTTGTTTGCTCGAGCGACGGACGTTAAACTTTCCAGTTTGCGTCGGGACATTTCTGAACCGGGGCCTCGTCCAACGAGTCGACAGTTTGTGCATATTCACAGTTTGTGTAACGATCTGTACAGAATACGAGATGTAATTTAGCTGAAATGTTTCTAGTTGCATGCAGCATCACAAAAATCTAGTCAATAAAAAATACTTGTAGAAAGCAGAGATGTATCAGAGATTCATTTGTTCAGTTTCCACGTCTGAAGCACTTTCCTGACGGTGGTGAGCTACTGCCCAGATATAATCAACACAGGAACGACTTTGAGGTGAACCTTACTCTAAAAGGAAGTTCAGCAGAATAGTTAGACTTGCTCCAGGATTTCAAAAGTAAAAAAACTGACTTAATTCTCTCAGAGTTAAAAGACATGTTTACCTGGAAACCAATACTCCAACATTAACCTGTTTAAATCCAGTGTCTGAATAACACACGACCATGTAAACGGAATTGTCTGATTGACTTAACCTGAATAAAGTCATTAATCATTAAAATGATCAAAATAACACGTGTGGAGTATTTTGAACGCAGTGGCATTAAGTGGACACGTGTTTATTTCTCAAACCTCATTAATTCTCAATGTTAGATACTGAGCACACTTTGTTCGTCACATTGTTTTAACTGAACTGAATTAAAATGGATTTTAGTACATGTGACGTTTACAGAGAAGTATAAAACCGACAGATGTGTAAATAAATTCTAATGTTCATCACTGAGTTTAAGGAGAAAAGACACGACTCAGTTGTTGTTACGTTGGTTTTTATTGCTAACGAGAGCCGGACACATTCTCTCCATCTGTCTCCGTGTCCTTCAGGCCCTCAGGCGGCTGATATAGTGTTTCCTCCAAACACTAACTTTCAACCCGTTCAGGATGTTTTGACCAAAACATTCACAGTAACACAATCGCTTCGGTTTTTAATGACTCGGGTGGAATCATGTGTCCACTGCTGCGTCTCCTGCTGCGGAGGAAACTTTCACCTTGACATTTCACTAAGTTCTTCTCATTGTTCATCGGTGCCACTGAGCGAACTTTACCGTTTGGTGCGATCTTGTTTTCCACGACTGAAGCTACATTCAAATATCATCCACGCTACTATTACAGTGAATGTAGCCTCAGGAGCCGGGCATCAAACCACTACTTTTCTCTGAGTGCACAACCCACTTGACCTCCTGAGCCATCGTCACCGAATGCTTGTCAACCTCACGTTAACTGGACAATGCCGATGGCAGCTTCCGTGCCCGAGATATTCTGGCTTCGTTTTCTCAGTGGGAGAAGGTGGAGAAGCCTCGTCCATCTTAGTTTAAACTCTACGGTTCCTCATTCTGAAAAAAAATGTTCCTACTGCTACTTCGGTAATTTAAGAACCAGCTGCAGAGATTCAGTTTCTTCAGATTTATTTTATCAAGAGGTGCAGATACATGAGAATATGTTAGATATGAAAAAAGTTTACGATGTGTTCGAGTCAAGTTTCCCGATCTTGATTGTCGATGTGTGTTTCTGTTGTTGGTCCGTTGAGAGTTTTCTGCTGTTTCATCCACATGGCTGCATACAGACCTCCCTGCAGCAGCAGCTCCTCGTGTCTGGACGAGGAAACAAGAATGACACGAGACAACAAAGAGTCAAAGCTGCATATTTCAACAAAAAAAAAAATGGACCAGTATTAAAACCTTTTCCTTCAATGTGGATTCTGCTCCGGGTTCTTCACCAGAACCTGAATCTTTGGCAGCAGTTTGAACAGTTCCCAGCTGGAATTTAAAAATTGTGGAAATTTGTGGCCGTGTTATATTGTGGCAGTTGGAAAGAAAGGATGGAGAAGGTATGTGAGAAATTTCTGGAGCAAAAGAGAATATAGTGACTTGCAGAATAATGCAGCATCTATAATAACATTACAAACACGTGGAGGAAATCAGAGTTAACCAAAGTTAATCCCCAACATGACCTACTTGGCAGAAGTAAAATTTAAGAAACCAAAAATGAAAAGAAAGATTGAGCAGGCAGGACGTGGGTCACTCATAATGTCTTGTGACACCAGAGCTGCGTTAAGAACAAAGTTGAGCTGTTTAAAAATCCTCTTGGAGACTTTAACCAACTTTGCTATGAATTAATAAAACCACGAGTCTGTGACTGTCTGGACTGAGAGATGGAGAGAGAGGGAGAGGAAGAGAGAAAGAGAGGGTCAGGAATCAAATAAAGAGACAGAGACGATGGGGAGGACAGGATGGGATGATAGAAAAAGAAAAGAAGGGGAGATGTGGATTCAAGTGGTCAATCGAAGAGAAAAAGAGGAGAGAAAAGTGTGTAAACCTAAGACTTAAGACTTAATCACGGACTTGTTGTTTCATTGTTTTATTTATTGTCTCATCAAATATGATTCTTGTTAAATGTCCTAATGACAAATACAGGAATGAATGAAACTGAGAAAAGATTAATAAGGTTTGGTTTGATTAAATTAATCCATTTTCAGACATGAACTCCAGAAATTCACTGTTATGTTTTAAACAAATGAGAAGCAGCAGGAGATGGTTGGGGTCAGACTCATAAAGAGCCCGAGGACAGCAGCAGGAGAGAGGACGTAGAAAGTTTTCCTCCCCGTGAAGTTTCTGAATTTTTCCTGTCGTATTCTCACAAAATTTTCACTAAACTATTATTTATTTGGATGCGTGTTGTTCGGCGTTTTTCAGAATTAGCCGGCTCAGTGTGGATGTAAGACTGAAGGTAAACCCCGAGGACAGGATGAGGCGTCCTCCTGGCTTTGTCTCACGATGCACCCCCCCACACTTTGAGGCAAAAACTGTGTGTATTCCGACACCGGAGGTTAAATGGGCCTGTCCCGTGTTTACATCACAGTGTCAATCAAAAGATGAATGGGGTTTTTTTTTCGGACGGTTTGCCTTCCACATGCCTGCAGGGTTAAACCGGGTTCTGCTGCGAGGGCTGGTTTAACGCCAGCGTGCATGTGTTTGTGCCGCTCCACATGTGACCGCCTCATCTCTCAGGTGTGTTCTCGCTGTCGTCCTTTGTGCGTCTGTGTGTGAAACAGTGTGCGAGAAAGGGAAGTCTTCGTAACCAGCTCCTATATCAAAAGGTCGTATGCATCAGCAGGTAAGAGACAGCTCCACTCTGTGTGTGTGTGTGTGTGTGTGTGTTGGTCAATCAGCCTCTGGGTGTGGGATGAATACCAGGAGGTTTAAGGGTCACACACTAAAACACACTCTGAGGTTTTGATCTACTGATAACAAATTTGCAAGCACTTAGGACACACAACAACATTCAGATGCCTCTCTCACACACACACACACACACACACACAGTCATCAGTGCCTCTGGTCGGAGGATGGGATTGAGCGGGAAAAACAAAACCTTACCTCCCTCTTTCTGCTACGTGTCCGTTGTGAAGCACGAGGATCTGGTCGGCTGCGACGATGGTGGATAACCTGCAACATCACAATCAACGTTACTCGGCACATGTTTTAGTCCGACTGAGTCACCGGCTGGATCGTGTTCAGAGTTCAGTGTTGTGATGTCGTGTTCTCTCGTCCTGTGTCGATACTTCAGAAAACATGTAAATGTGAATCTTCAGACCCAAGTACACAACATTTCACAATAAAAGCTCTGTGATTCTGCTCAATATAATTACAGCAACAAACTGAACATTGTGCTTTTAATTTGTGAAGACAAACAAACATCTTTTTAACAGACACAAACTCTGAGATATTCTTTTAACACAAGTGAAACATCATCAAGTTTACGTCAAAGACTTTGAACCAGTCGGCTTCTTTGCAGCGCTTTGGGAGATTTCTTGTGAAATTCCAGAGGTGCTGCAGGTTGAGAAGAGATGGATGAGGAAAATTAGGAAATGGGAAAAGATGAAAGATAAAACGATGTGTGGTCCGATGTTAAACACATTCAGCGACACACACACACACACAGTCACTCGTCAGTCACCACTCACAGGAACATTCGGACGTCGCTCAGGGCTGGAGAACTCTGAATGAACTTCTCTGTAAATTATTCAAGTTAATATTTATGAGTCTGATTAAAGCCACACTCAGCGATCTGAATGGTTCCCGGCGACAGACGCCACTTCGCCATGTGACCACGAAAATTATTTCCGGTGCAGCGACGAAAGTTTTCCACAGATTCTTAATTTTCTCTATGATAAATGTGCTAAAAATAGGATTTTTTGAAAAGCGAAGGGGACAAACAGCTGAATGCCACTTTAAAGCTTCAGCAGAGCCGCCACTCTGCTTTAATATCATCGAGACCATCTCTGGACGTCCGCCTGCTCAATATTTGATAGGAAGCCTCGGTCGCAGGTAGAAATATCTCTCTCTCTCCAGAGAACGCAGATGTCAACGCTTGTTTTTCTTCTCCTCTCATTCAGAGCAAGAAGAAAAACATCCAGTGTGTTCACGTGCATTTTACTGAAGGTCCGTGTCCTGATTTTAGCGAAAAGAAAGTTATTTGTTTTACTTTGGTCAGTGAAGTGGAAGAATCTGCTTTTCGACAAACTGTCTCTTCCCTCAGGTCTGATTATTTGAATTTTGACGATAATGGAATTTCTCAATAGTGTAGCTACAACTTCCGCATCTTTGTGATGTCAGGTTTTTGCACGTTTACCGTATATGACGCGGCGAGCTTCATGTCAAGATTAGGAGCTGGTGAAAAATCCATCCAGTGAGTGAGAGTCGTGACCTGCTGCTGCGTTTTAATTTCATTACAGGCCCGACTGAGTCAGTCAATGAAAACAGATCGGACCCAGACTCCATCTGCTGCTGCTATTGAAAGATTAGGAAGCTGCTGGATCAAACACCGTCGCTCAACATATAATCAACATGTCGGAGACTTACACTGTAAAACAAACAGGAATGTGATCCCATCTAAAAGTCTTCAACTAGATCATTTGTTATAAGTTGAAAACTGAAACAAACTCATTTAGTCGACATAAAATAATAAATAATGTTCCTCTGACAGATTCTTGTGTGAACGTTAAGTTAATCTAAATCCTGATGGAGCGTGTTCAAGCCGTTACTTTGCCAGTTAGTGCCACATTTCTTTGTTGTTGCTGAGATGTGTATGTGAGTCACGGTCAACATGTGTGACCCGTGTTTGTACGTGTGGCTCAGAGTTTCCACACGGGAAGAATGTTCCTTCAACTATCAGGTGTAGGACTCTGACGATTACCAGCGGCTCATGATTCAAAACGTGTGAAAATGGGTTTATGCTCCGTGAGGTTTTGAAACTGGATTCCAAACAGGCCGTGGAGCTGTTTATGTGAGGGTAAGACGATGTAAATAAACTTAAATTGGTGACTGAGTGGGTCCAATTTTGAGGACGCGATGATTGGGTTCTAACAGAATCAGCCCAATCAACACTGCGTCTGCACGAAATAGCAGAACACAAAAGTAGGAAATGTGGTTCATGGCTGGAAGCAGCTGCACAGCAGGAGAGAGGAGAAGGAGACAAAGTGGTTCAGACTGCAGCGAGAGAGCAGTTTACAAAAACAGCAGAATCAAATCTAGTTTGCTTTCTTTCTGCAAAACAGCTCAAACCAAACTGCCTCACGTCTTTTAATCCGTCTGCGTCTCCGTGCGCCTCTCGTTCGGGTGTTTCTCTCTGGTTAGCATTGTTGTGATGAAGACACCGGCCGGAGCTGGTCCGGAGGAGCCGATGCAACGTACAGAGTCAATCTAAAACTTAGTGTGAGCGCATCGATCTTTTATAAATAAATAAATAAAAATACATAGATATATAACCGAACCCATAGCTGCTGCAACATTTACAGGACCTGCCGCCTCGTTTAACGTAGCCTTTTGCCCGATATGAACCGAGGCCCCCTTGTGGGCGTCTGTGCTCAGATTATTAATGATTATTAATTATGGATTTCTTCTGCCGAGCACACGTTGCTGGGACATCGAGAAAATCGGGGTAAAATCAAATCAACACTATTTTTAACACCATCACAGAATATTTAACTTCACATAGAAATAGTTTAAACTTAATCTTTGTTCTCGTTGTTTTTGTTTTGTCAGTAATTCTTTTAAAAATTGAATTCAACCCCTCGCTTTTGACCAGTTGATCAAATGGGCCGACCTCATCATGAACAGTGGAGACCAGGGTTTAATGATGTCCGTCACAGAACAGGATAAACATGATCCATTGTGTGGAGTTAAGTGATGAAGACCGGGGACGTGCAGCGATGCAGGAATCAGCTCCACCGGCTGCTTCGCTCCTGATGCAGTTTAGTGTCTGCGATTGTCAGAGCCTTTCAAGTCTTTTTTTTCAAAATCACTCCGACTGATGAACGAGCAGACATCTGTTTCTTTTACTTTTGTTGACCTGTCATCACGCGTCACCTCATATCCTCCAATCAGCTTTCCCTTTAATCTCTCCATCCTTCTCTTTGTGTGCGCTCTAATCCTGTTTTTCTTTCACCACGTCCCACTTTTCCTTTCATCTCCTCCGTTCACATTTGGTTTTTCTTTTCAGTTCATGTCCCGTATTATCACGGCCGTTACCACATTGTAACAGAGCGCTGACTTTTATAGCGCGAGGGACAGAAACCAATGTCCAGTTCCACATTGAACCATGTGTTCGTCAATAATAAAACCAGGGCCGTAACTCTGGTATGAACACAATATAACTTCACAAGTTCATTGATCAGCTCTGATCAGTTCAATCATGTTCATCCGACCATAGATTCCAACATCCTCACTCCGTTGGTTTGATATATTATTAAATTCCAATTTCATTCTGTAAACATTGCACGATGGCTGCGAAGAACCACAGATAGTTCGTGTGGGAAATACTGCGACGCCCTTAAAAGTCCTTTGAGCAAAGCTGTGTTCCTGAATCTGGTGTAAATACATCCAGATCCTGAGGCCCTGTTTGCCAAATCTGATCCCAGGCCACCTCGGCGGCGGCTCCGTGGGCGGTTTCCTTCCAACTAGAAAATGTAGCTGGGAGAAAAATAAAACTGAGGCAAAATCATGATGGAAATATTGCAACACCGGAACAACTAAAACCAAAGCTGAGCTACATTTTCACTGACATTTCCCTGAAAAGTCTGTTTGTGAGAATTCATATGTCGGAGTCCTGCTGCTCTACCAGGCTCCGCCCCTCGCCTGAGCGTTCCAGATGTTTCCCTGTTGTTGTGAACGAGTCTGACCCTGACGAGAGAAACTATCTGGAAAACGTCTTTTCTGTCTCATGAGAGAATTCAGTGATGGTCAACAGGTGAATGCTCAAGTACAAGAAGGAAACCTATTAGGAAGCTTCCGGGTCATAAATAAAGAACGAAGGAGGAAGGAGGTTTCCTTCCTGACGAGACACATCTTCGTATAACGTAACGTCACCTGTGTGCGACCACTATAGTCGTCCTGTTGGTGCAGACCTTGGCCAGTGAAGCCTGGATGTTCCTCTCAGTTTGGGTGTCCAGCGAAGAAGTGGCCTAATGAACCAAACACAGTAAAAGGATTCACTGTTGTTGCAGTAGACACCGAAACAAAAGAACACTTCCGCTATTAATCGATAAAATGTGTGAGTTCAGGACCGCGTGGAGTCGCCCTCTGCAGGTCGTTGAACAGAATACAGGAGTCTACGTCCATCTTTACATACAGTCGATGTAAACAGGTGCAAGTGCTGCCAGGTTCTCTTTTTAATTGTGCAAAAATAAAGGTTCTGTCACCTCACCTCATCCAGCAGAATGATCTGAGGCTCCTTCAGGATGGTTCGAGCTATCGCCACTCTCTGCTTCTCCCCGCCACTGAGCTTCAGCCCTCGCTCGCCCACCTCCGTGTCGTAGCCTGGCACCACAACGCGACGTGAATTGGCAAAACACAAAAACATATCTCAGCAAAAACAGGGGCATTTTTTTTTATAATTAGCATTTAAACACACGCACACACACACCGTGGCCTGACCCTGAGGCAGCTCCAGGATTCTGGTGTGTATGTCGGCAGCCATGGCGGCTCTCTCCACCTCGTGGTCGGTGGCTGTAATCCGGCTGTAGCGGATGTTGTTGCCGATGGTGTCGTTGAAAAGAACCGTATCCTGGGGAACCACTCCGATGAACGACCTTAGAGACGACTGGTGCACCTGAGACACGGCGGGGAAAATGAGGTAGAGACTTATTCTACCGCTACAAGGGTTACATCCTTCCGTCTGTTGGAGAGACGGGCGACTTCTTGGAATCATTAACACTCGATCTTTTTAGGCCTCCGTGCTGACATCCAACGTGATCTCGCAGAAACATCTCCTTTCTTATTTGGTATGAATTTTCTATTAGAAGGTCAAAGGTCAAAGTGTGAAATAACAAACCAGGGTTTTTGGTCTCAGGAAAGTTTTGAGGGAATTTCTTCAAATGTGAAACAAACGTTCACTTCGATTCACAGATGAACTGATTAGATTTCAGTGCTCACATGTTTTTGTCCTCATCAACATGATGTCTCAAATCTGCCTTCAGGAAATTTCTAATTCAAATTTAGACCCGTTGTCACTTAGACTGAGAGATGAATTAATTAGATTTCAACATGAAACAGGAAATCCTGTCTGCAGAGGAATCACAGGACGCTCATTCTGGTCTCGATCTAAAACTTGATCCGAGACACAGAATGAAGGTCACACACACACACACACACACACACACACTTAGCATACATCTACATCAATGTTGCATGACTAAATTCATCCTATACTATATAATGCATGCTGCTCCAGGTCACAGATAGTACACATGTCCTTAAGAGATTTCTGTGCGTCTCTCCGAAGCTTTAACGCACAATTTTTTTTTTGTCCTCCGTCTTTTGTACAATTAACAACTTAATTAAAAAACTGAGGGGGAATAAAATGTGATACGCAGATGCTTGTTCTCAGAGCAGAGGGAGCTCAAATCTGTTTATAAAGATAAAGGTAATAAACACTGTCCTCCATGTTAGTGGACGGGACATAGACCAAATTGACTTGTCACACTGATGATTCTTCAATCGATCACATTCCTGATAAGCGGCTCCATTCCCTGATCACCACTGATGTACGAGATAGCAGCGTTTTTTTCCGGGACAGTTTAGCTAAGAACAGCTGAACCAAATTGTCTTGGAACTCGGTGGAGGGGTGGACTCTGGCCCAGGGAAGAACTCGTTAACTAATTAATTTTGGAGCAGATTCAATCAAGAAGGCAGCAGAGTTTGTTTTTGATATTTTCCTGAACTACTCTAGAAGTAATGCAGAGATCACTATGATAAAAACCTGACGTCTGTAACTACGAACAGGGGAAGTTTGATGTGGATCTGGATCCAAAATATTCCTTTCATCTATGTCAGAGGATCAATATCTTCCCTGCGATTAATGCAAACAGATTGCAGAACACTGCTGCGTACAAATATGTCTCCAATCTTAATACATGTATTTGGAATGTGTTGATAAAGTGGCCAATCAGCCTTGGCGGAGGAATCGCTCTTTGTGTCTCAGTCCAGCTGTTGAACTAAATCTCCCAAGGAACTGCTTTGTGTTTTTCGGCTCAGTTGCTGCAAAGAATTTATTCCGTCTCCGTCTATTCCGTCCATCGTCACTTCATCGGGATCAACGACGACTGAAACGTTTAAGATTTGATCGGATGGAACGAGATGAGTTGATCGTGTCTTCAGTCTTCTGTTGAGGGCGGATCAAACCGACATCAACATGCCGCATGTGTCCAAACCGGTGCGAGTGAAATCACTGTGATGTGTTTCCCCTGTTCAACAATAAACCTCTCAGCATCCTATGAATTTTGTCTTCTTCTCTCTCCAGATATAATTTCCTGTTTCCAGCGACTCTCAGGTCAGTGCGCAGAACTTTTGAGTCTCTCCTGCAGAAAGCTTTCCTCGGCAGCCACAACAATACAAATTCCATTTCCTGCACCAGTTCGGTTTTGGCCGGTAATCACTCACTTTCCCCTAATTTGATCTTTGCTGCTTACTTTTGTCATTTCTTCCACTCTAGAACAACGTCACATCTGTTTCTCATAGAGGCGGAGCCGAAGCACCGGGCGTTATAAAAGGAGAAAGACGCAGATGTAAAAAACAAAACAAGATAAAAAAAAGTCTTTTAATGTTTTTCATTGAAACATGACATCAAAAGAGGAAATGTGAGTGTGAGGCAGCTGTCCTCACTCACATGAGAAAATGACCGTCATTAAAGTCAATCTGTCTTCAACCCTCCTTTCCACAAAATATGGTTTTTATCAGCTGCTTTGCCAAATATGTTCAGCGGCAAAAACAGTTGCTCCTCGGCCGGACGGGTCGGTCGAAGCGCTGAACTCCAACACAACACAGTCACCACAACAAACCGCGGATCACAACACATTACGGTCCGTCGAGTGCAAGTGTTGACTTTTTAAATACTGACCAAGGCCACGATCCCACCAGATGATTTAAAGTTTCAGAAAGAAAAGCTCTCTTTTATAAAAAGGTCTCGAATAAGAGGTCAGAGGACAATCGAGCTCATTCTTTCAAAACAACACGACAAAGACTAACGCAAGGGGAAAAAAGACTGTAAAAGAACAATCCAGTATTTTGCTTTTGTATTTATATTAGTTCTATTAATTTATAAAAAGGTTTATAGAGAAACTAAAATACCAAGTCTCAATTACACTTATTTAAAGTTAAGATATCAACTTCTATCAACAAAACCGACGCACCAAACAGACGCAAGATACACCAAGCAGCCATTTTGCGTTTACGTATTAACATCAAGTCGTTTTACTTTTATGTTCTTCACATAGGAAGGTGCAGTTATTGTTTCCAGAGTTCTTAGTTTCCTCTCTGCAAGAAAACAAATATGTATCAAACTGTTCCTTCAACGGGTCGGCTCTAGATTCTGTTCTTCTGTGTCACGTTCTAATGATTCAGCTTATTAGGCTTCATAAATACTTGATTGCCTGGTTACTCAGCTGACCAACAGGAAGGTGTGTCATAGAATAACAGGAAAAGCTGGGTCGTTATGAGCAGCGCCAACATGTTGCAACCGGCTAAACAGAGAGTTTTGTTTTTATCACCTTGAGTCTAAAAAAAGAAACTTGACTCCCACCTTAAAAAACACACACAAACAGATGACTCACTCAGTAACCGGCCGTCAGCGGGTGGGGTCAGCGCGACCGGACGCGTCAGAGCTGCATCACATGTGGCAGCCACATGCCGAAACAAACAGAATGGCACAGGCCGGACAACACCCGAGGTCTGAGGGTCTGAGCTGCGTTCACTGGGTTTCAAACGACCACTAACGTGTGCCAAACACCCAGAAGCCTCCGAGCCGTTTAAATACGTTTACTCAGATCCAATAAAGGTAAATCTCTCGGCATGTCTCGGTTTGAATCTGTTGGATGAGGCCGAGAGATTTTACGTCAGATACAAACTGAAAATCATCGGTGTTGAAAAACAGCGAACAGGCTCCAGCTGCTCAATCACAGAGGTAGAAAGATAAAAAGTTGTACTCGGAGTCGTGAAGAGCAGGACAAGTGCATCATGGGTGTTTCACAACGACAGAAGTATTCAGCTCGGCCAAAATGTCGACTTCATGTATCTCAATTACATGTTAAAGTTCTACATGAATATATAACACAAGCTCAAAGTAATGAAATATTTTCTATTCTCCAGAGTTACTTGG